GCTTACCCACAATGCACACGGTATGAGTGTTCATACAAAGAAAAGTAGATAACCTTTTGCTTCCAACAGCCTGATAAGAGTATAGTATAAAATATCACACTTTTCCTATTGCAAAGAGATGCTTATTACAGGCTCCTCAACTACAAAGACATATTTTTTGGGCATGTGTCGTTTTTGGTATCATCTTAAGGCTAGTTCATTTGTTTTACTTTCGATTAAAAAAATACCCATTAACTTGAATACAACTTAATACAAGTCAAGATATTTGCTTTTAAAGGAGGTGGGGGTTGCCTAGTTTCAGAAGAAACGTAAGCGAGAAAATGGCCTCCAAACTTTGGTTATTTCCATAGCTGGTGAGTCCGCAGAAACGGACAATTTACAATTTTTGTGCCTTTAATCAAAGTTTTTCGTTAAAATCCACACGATAATGTGTTCTTAAAAGGACAAAAAAGGTGTTGAGCCAAAAACAAAAAATTCGGTAAAATTTGTCAAGCCGGCAGAAAAAATGCCAATTTCTTAAATTTCATTATTTTGACGAGCGTCTGATTTCACCACGCTGCCTCACCGATATACCAATATACATTTATATATATAGGTAAATATTAAATATATCACAGAGTTCTGAATAAAATCACAGATGACCAAATTGTGTACTTGTATACACCGCTTAGACTTGAAAAATACAAATTAACACATTTCAAAATGGAATGTACAGATAAACTGGTACCTGAATAACAATATTAAGTTACAAAACAAATCTGAGACCTCCCTTACCCTCTCTCTCTCTCTCACTCTCTCACTTTCTCTCATCTCCCTCTCTCCTGCTCTCCCTTTCTCTCTCTCTCTCAAAAATCATTACCGGTAGCCTAAGTTACATGCACAAACAAACACAAGTGCAAAGATATTTCTTTCAATGCCAAGGGTCTTCATCAAGAACACATTGTCTAAAAACTGATCCACTAAAGAGCCCAACTTTTCCCCTTTTACACATGACATACATGTAATGTTTCTCTCTCAGTTACATGCCCAAAAACTTGTTCTATAGCCAAAAATCCATCTAAAACTAAAGTTTGAACCAAGATAGATAAACTTAACCTTGCCATGTGTCACGACGCAAAGGAATCAGTTGCTCATCAGTTTTTAGGCAAGTGGATTTATTGATACCACTTGAAAGCTGATTAATTTTCCTTGCTTCCATTGAAATAAATATCCATATATCTTGGATAGAACTCAAGATATTTATGATTGAAGAAAGCGAGCTCGCCAGGTTTCAGTGGTGAAATTAGCGAAAAAATGGCTGCCTAAGTTTGGTAACTCCAATAGCTAAGGAGTCTTGGAAAACTGAAAAAAGAAATATTCTGTGCCTTTAATCAATGTTTCCAGTACAATTCACATGGAAATAACGTGGTTTTTACATATAATATATATGGACATAAAAGAGGTTAAGCCAAAAAAATAAAAATTCGATAAAAATGTCCAAACTGGCGGAAAAAAGCCGGTTTCTCAGATTTTATTACTTTGACGAGCGCCTGATTTTTCACCACAATGCCTCACTTATTGCAAAAGCTCATCATACCCAACGCAAACTGTGTATTTGATTTATTTAATTCAATTGAGGCCAGCCAGATTTTGCTTCGTGAATGGGTCAAAAGCTACTATTTTGATACAAGACAACCGAACTCAACTAAATTTAACTACAGTGGAAACCTGATATAACAGGGACGGTGGGAGTAGAAAAAATGTCATGTTACTGTTGTATATATCCGATCCCTGTTAAATCAGAAATGCAAGGAAAGTAAGCATTTGTGGACTTATCCAGCTGTACTTATTCATGGGTAGTTTCCCTTGCCACAAGTACCCACGAACAGGGGTTTTGGCACCAACTTTCTCCTTGCCTCCTTAAACCACATCAGAAGAGCTTGGTCCACAGCATCTGCATCGCATAGTCTCATCTTCTTTCGATCCAGAGCAAACTTTCCATTGGAGTATAATGCTGCCACTATCTTCTCTCTATCCTGGATAAAAGTGTGAATCAACCCTTGTCGAACTGATGACAAATCTCTGCCAGTGGAGCTTGCTTTTTGTCAACAGCCTGGATTATTTCGTGGGTTTTTTTGGGTCAATTTAAAGGTATTTTCTCTTGCGCTTGACATCGTTGGTGACACATTATGCGTGCGTGTTACTAGGTTTCGGGCTAGATCGAGATCTGCTGCACACCGCAGTCCTCTCTGGCTTCACACACCGCGTGTGCTTACAGTGGCATGGCTTGCATGGGCTTGCTCTATCACTGCGTTACTCTCTCTCGCTCTTACTTTTAACACATTGTTAACGAGCCTTTGTCCCTGCTATAACTGGTTGGGCTCTGATAAGGCCCTGTTATTGCCGATAACTTTTAATAGAGACAAAGAGTAGGAAAAAACAGGGATTTAAAGATTATAATAAACCAGTTTTGACGTTCGGTAATTGTTTGTACAATTTTGAGTCCTAAGTTTAATTCTGCCCGGCGGCGGCAAATTTCAAAGTGAATCTACGTCACAGCACGTCTCCCTCAAATCTGACAGTGATTGCATAGAAAATATCAAGCACCACTTGATTTCTTGACCGAGTCTCCAAACCATCGTTCAATCGTCCAAATTTTGTACAATTTTGTGGTTACACCTAATTATTTATCGTATGATCGCTAGATCGTCCAATTTTTGTACAATTGATCGTTACGTGTAACCGGGCCTTCAGTCTTGTCCTGGCATCTCACAAGATTTCCAGCCCATAGTCAGCCTTAGCTACTTCAGACAAAAGGCAAAGGTTTTACTATGAGAATTGAAGGCCTCTTACTCTCACATTCACAAGATTTAGATTGGCCTAGAGATTATTACAGTCCGTGCCGGCTTTAAGCACGCCCGCTTAAAGCACGTTTCAGACTCAAGCACGCTAAACGGCTCTTACCGAATTTTTGCTATATAAATTACACGCCTTTAAGCACGGTAACTTCGGCTTCAAGCACGCTTCATTTACGAGACAGTCAATATTTTCATGATGACCCGTCGAAGTTCAAACACAGTCTACACCGCAGCAGTGGAGTGTGTCAAGAGAAACACAAAGAACGCAAGTGATGGACACACACACTCACACGGGCGGAGAGGAAGGCAGATGCACACAGCCACGCGCGCGGACATAGGATCTAGCTTAGGCCTAGGGCAAAGCTACACACGACCAAAAAAAAATACAAAGAGAGTCGGGGAGACGAGAAAGAGAGGCTGGCTGCGATTTCACCTTTGACCCTCGCTATCTATTAATCCTGATTGTGTATCACGCGCAAGGTGGGATGAAGGCGGTGGTATGAGTGGCACAGCGGGCAGTGGTACGCACAGGCAGTGTGTAGGCCTACTGTGCTGTATCGTGACTGGCCGTCTAAATTAAGTTTTAATTTCCCATTCGACCACAAAACAAAAACAAACACGCTTAAGCACGCTTAAGCTTTCTCCCGACGACCGTGCTTAAAGCCGGCATGGACTGTATTATAAAGGCTTACATGTTACTATTAGATGACAAGAACTTCAGATACACACAACACCGATGCGCCCTGAACAACCCTCCACATCGACAGTCCCTGTTTGCCAACTGGTACAAAGTGACAGTGTCTGAGCTGGGGGGTTTTTTGCCTTTATTGTTGAGATGGGAATTGCTTCTGAAGATTCATCAAATTATAAGAAATGGTATCATGACATGTTTGCTCACCCCATGTTTGAAACTTTATATCACTCCAGGCTTCATTGTGCTGAGTTGGCTGTTGCGGATTCTAAAGCAAAAAATCGAACCCTTCAAGAATATGCTTCTGGTGAACTGCTGCATAGCATTTTACCCCGACCAAAACTTGGCACTTTATGAAATGGTAGTTCGGTACCAGTTAAAATGGGCATATAAGATGTTCAAACCATCAAAACTAAAAAAGTACCATATCAAGATATTTGGACCGTGCGACAGTGCCGTGGGGTATGTTCTGAACTTACGGACATACTTTGGGGAACAAACATAATGCAAACCTGACCGTGATCAAGACGGAGGTCAGGCAGTCAAGGTGAAACTCTTCTTGAGCCATTTTCAAAAGGCCATCACATATTTGCTGACAGGTACTATACCACCATGTAGCTTGTAGTGCCCTGTCAGCAAATAGCTTTTATTATATCGGCACCATCAACAGGAATCGCCGCGACTTCCCTCCTCAACTGCGCACCAATCATCTCTTAAGTGGTATCTCATCTCCCATAAAGGGTGTTGACGTTTTATGTGCAACATGGAGAGACAAAAAGGCAAAGAAACCTGTGGTGATCTGCTCCCCTCAGTCATCTGTTGAAATTGTCATCCAGGTAACAAGACAAAACACAACCAAGAAACCGACCGTTATTCACTCTTATTCAAGAACATGAACAGCTGTGACCGTGCCGACCAGCAGTCAGGCTACTATGGCTTTTTCAATAAAAAAACCAGTGAAGTGGAGGAAAAAAACGGTTTCTATTTTATGCTGGAACTGTGCCAGACCGATGCACATGTGTTGTATTCCCTGTCTCACCAGAAGTGGATAAGCCGCTAAAACTTCAAAAAGATATTGATCAAAGGCTTGACAGAGCTCTCAATCCTCACAAAGACATAGGAAAAAGCTCAAGATGAGGCTCGGCAACAAGGCAAACCTGCTGCCAGTCTCCCCGAAAGGTCTGTGGGGAAATAAACATTTAGTGGCTCATTCCATCAAGGACAGAATTTGCCACTATTGTAGCAAAGGAACAGGGAAAAGGACGCGGACAAATTTGAAAAATTTGTTCTGTTCAGGCTGCTCCACGAAGCCTCACCTTCATCCAAAAGACTGCTTCGAACATTACCACACTGACAAAAAGGTTTTGTTGTAAATATGGGTGCTTAATGGACTGTGCCCGTGTTTCTGTAAATAATCTATTCGTTTTTTCGTTTTACACTATTCAGAATGGATTTATTTGTGTTTTTTTCCCTTTTTCGAAAATTGGTTATATAAATAAAAAAGCCCTTCAGTGAAAAATATTCCACTAAACTTGTGAAATTCTTCCATAAATGTATGTTAGGGTGACATCACTACAATTCTGTGCTGATTCCAATGGATTATAAAGACTCGTACAGCTGAAAAAATGATGGCCCAAAAAAAAGGTTTTTAATTTGTTTTTGTCCGAGGGAAAATACAATGAAATGCAATCAGAATATAGATCCTTGAATTTGGCATAATCAGATTCTTCTACCGATTCCCATCATTTTGGTATATATGACAATACATTATTATGTAGAGTAGCTTAGGGCCTCACAGTAATGCATTAAATAGATGCACCCCAGGTCAAAAATTTAACAGGGAAAAATAACTCTGTCCAGAGCATGAAGAAATCATGGATGGAATCAGGTAATCAACGCTTCTCAGTAAAATCCACAAAGAAAAGTTTTTTGAAATGGACATAAAAGATGTTGAGCAAAAAGAAAAAAGATCAAAATAGCCAAACTGACAGTAAAAATGACGATATCTTCGATTCAGTATTTTGACGAGCGCCTAATTTCACCACGATGACTCACATACAGTATAACCCTGGTAGAACACAGATTACTCGAAATCATGCATCCGTCAAACTGTTTCTGCGGTCCCATTTTTTCTTCTTCTTTATCTTTGTAAGAAAATTACGCAAAGCTCGAACACAAACACGGAGTAGTCTAACGAATTACACTGCCGTAGAGGTCTAAAGTCAATGTCCTTTGAGGTGCACTTGAGACAAAATAATTTTTTTACACGGAAAAAAAGCAAGGTTGGTAAAATACCCCCTCCCCCCCCCCCCCCTTCCACAGAAGCAGCTAGCTGTGCTTTTTTTTTTTGCGCGCTGCTCGACATGCGTGCTCTCTGTCATAGACCTAGTTTAGGCTTTAGGCTTGTGAGGAACCGGCGAGAGGAAGGGTTGTGCATCAAACGATCAACCGCCCCATCCCTCTTCACAAAGGACTGCGCGCTTGGTGGGAGAAGCGGGGTAAGGCTGCATTGTATCGTCATCGTGCTGTTGATTACTGTTGCAATATGCTTAAGCTATCAAATTGTGTATGTTTTGAAAATTTTGAAAAGGCACCGTTCGATTGGTGTAGACTAAAGACAGTTCAAACTGACCCGCTCAATTAAACTGTCTAGGTACCGGTAGGCTCATTATCCATCGAACTCGAAAGCATTGCTCATCATGGTGTTGCCCCTTAAGTAGCAATCTTTGTCGCTCCTCTTGATTCTCTGACACAGTCAATGCCATAACACTGTTCACGCACACCTCTGACTACGGATCCCTCTAACTACCGAGGCCGGTCCCGACGAGTTCGAGCTATCCGTGTTATACAGTATATGTCTGTTTGGGCAAATATTAGGCTTTCCAGACTAGCCCTCAATGCATTATGTGACTTCCAGACCACTGCTAGTTTCCCGATTCATCCTGAATTAACTATCAAAGGACTAGTTGCAGAAAGACCTGAAAGTTGTAGAATAACAAATCTGAGATGTGACAAAAGGCATCCACTAAAATGAGCAATGTATTTATACAGTGTGTTTATAAGCAGAGTCTACTGATAATTATCCACAAACTCTTGCATTTTTGCAACATCCTCATCGTTTAGAGAGGAACATGCATCAGACAAAGCAGCAATCATCGCTTCTTCAGGCATTTCATGGTGAATGAAAAGTTTCCCTTCCGGTATTTCAATCCAGTTCATCCTAATCGCATCCTCGTCTTTCGAATCGCACGCCATGAAGCGCTCTTCAAGACGATCTTTGGTCATGCTGGTTTCATCTGCAAAAATCTTTTCATTTTCCATTGCTGCTTGCTGTGACTTATCAGACACTGATGCTTGCTCTTCCTGAAAACATCAAAAGGAAAAACCATTCCTTCAGAAGAAAAGAAATCTCAGACCAAATTCAAGTACAGTCAAACATGCTTTAACTCTTTATCTCTGAGGGGGGTAAACCCACTATGCCAGGGCCCTTTTGTGGTACTAAATCCAAAAATTACGAAAACGTCACTAAATTGGTCATTAAATCAAAATCAGTAAATATATTCTGGTAGTTCTTCATCTAATGAATGAACCCCAAAGAAAGATACTTGTTTTCGACAAATTGCCGAAAAGTAATTTGATGTCGAAGTTGCCATAAAGGAATGTGCCCGAGCCGTTTGCCGGAGGTAAAGAGTTAATGGCCACCTGTATAAGACAATCACACCTGTACCAACAGCCACTTCCCATTCCCCCCCCCCCCTTGCATTTCTTAAAAACATTATAATGATATTGAGTGTAAGATGGCCACCTGTGTAAAATAACCATTTTTCCTGTGACAACGGGGGGCTGTCTTAGACAATTTCGACAGTAATTGAAGCATCAATTGAAAACTGTTTAGTTGAAGACCCAGGACCATGGCTACATTTATTCATCAGGAACAGATAAGGACAATGTAATACAATGAAACCCAGACATCACAGATTCAACGAAGCCACTTGCTGGGTGAACAGCCCTTGCTAATGTGGTATCGTGTATTTTTCTCCTACAAAGAAGTTTATATTCTCTATTCCAAGGGACCATTGATCGTATCTGCACATTGGATCATTACATAATGAACATATTACGGCCATCTTATGCAGCCTGTCAGATGCCTTCTTTTACACCAACATGTGAGTTTTTGACATGATGTGCCTTAGTGTGTGCCAGGGTCTAGAGAAGTCAGGAGGGCGGCCAGCACACACGTGGCTGTTACTGCATGGGAGTAGGGAAGGGGGGTATGCACAAGCATCCAGGCATAGGACTTAAACAGAGATGCAGACATGTCATAATTAATCATATCCCCCCCCCCCCTTCTCCATCTATTGAACAATGATAGACTAGTCTAGACATCGAACTACATTAAGAACAGCACACTGATCTGTGGAAACAAATTGCTGTATGCTAAATCCTACACCGCAGCAATGCAACTTGTTGCTCAAATTACTATGATGAACTCTTGAATTCAAATAAATTGAAGGTCGGACCAGACAACTTCGTTATCCGAGTTTCAATGTAGGTTTCAGTGCGGGTACTCCAGTGTATACAGGCATGTATATTAGGCAATATTCTAGACAGACATGAGGAGATAAAAATTGTGTCAACTAACAATAAAGATTTAAAGCGTGTCAAATGAGCAAAAATATGTTTTAAAAGTTTTTTAATTGAAATTCTTGCTTTCTTGGCTATTTAACATCTTTTGCACAAAGAATACAATTTGACGTTGACGCTTCCATCTTCAGCTGCTTACAAATTTGAATCTGTAGAATTCACCCCCAATGTACCCTTAAAAAAACCTAAAGAGGTCAGTACCTTGAATTCCTCTGGACAATATGTGGTCACAGCCACAGCCACTTTCTTGAAATACTGAGACTCCATAACCATTTTGACAACATGCATCTCTGCATCACGCACCAGACTTAATAAATCACTGCCTGTAAAACCTGTGAAGGTTAAAAGGATGAATTTCGGTTATATTTCAATAATAATAATAATGATTATAACAACAACAATATGGCATCTATATAGCACTCAACCCTGGTTAAAGTACACAGGCTCCGAAGATTTTACATTACAATAGAAACATAAAAACAGTACATTGAGTTCTGACCAAAAGACAATCTCCCTCTAAATATTTACCTCATTAATTCTATCAACAGAAATGAATTTAGCTGACACTTGAATGAATCTCAGTTTTCATTTTAACAATAATTGGTGTCTAGTCTTATACAGTTGGGTTGTTTTGTTTTTTTTTGGGGGGGGGGCTATGTTAAATATAATGTTAAATATTCAACTATGTTAAATAACCAGGTTTGTGTGTGTAAAAAAGAAACGTGGAAATGCTGAATGACTACCATGCCACGAACGACGCTGCTTGGATCATATAGGAGGCTGGCTGCTTTGGCCCTGCTATCTGTGTTAGGGCCAACCCAGGTTGAGACGGACGCAATGTTCCAGCTGACAGACGCAAACAAAATTATACTAGAATGATAGAATTCCTCCCCACACGAGAATTGAACTCGCACCTCTCTGTGTGCTATGGTGAATTACTTTACCGTTACATTTACATCACAGATGCCGGCTCTGAACATAAGACAATGCAGAGTTTGAGAGCTTGCCTTGAGACACAGCTCTGCTCTGAGGCTCTTGTGGTATTCCAATAGTTTTATTCATATTAAATAATTTTTAGCACACTATACAATTTACAAAGCCAGTTTTCAGACAATTTCAGTTTTCTTGTTGTCTGAACTGAAACAAAAAAGATACAGTCCAAAAAAAATTTCTCCATGATCCGTAAGAATAACACAAACATGCATGCACACACACACACACACACACACACACATATATATGCATGTGCACGCGTGCGTACACACCTACACACTCAAACACACACACCCACGTTCATATACTTCCTGCCTAAACATATATCTGGCCAACACTTATAAAAGAATAGTGCAGTATAATCAGTGCAGTCTAGAGTCTAGCCCATGCTGAGTATAATCCATGCAACATGTTTTTCTATTTTTACATTCAGATTAGGAGCTTGTCACAAAAAAAAAAGAATTATGTGGCAGTTCTGATTTTTCAGCAAACACAATATTTTACAAAGTATGGGACAGTGAGTCCAATCAACATTCAAGAGAATCAGAGAGAATTTATATAATGCAAGAGACAACAAACAGCGCCACCAAAGATTATTCACTAGAATCTTTGGCATCACTGTTTGTCACACTGTAGTGAGCATAATGTTGGGGACAGTTACATTTGTTGATGAGAGAATGTGCACGTTTTATGGTAGTGGATCTATACATCTATACTTGGGGATTTTACAAGGTAAAATATGGGTCAGTTCTATAATAAAACTTGTAGAGACTAACATGTGCATTTGGGGTGGGGGGAGGGGTGGTTAGACACTTTCCAATTTAGTTTTATTATTATCCATTGCTATGGTACATGTACACAAGATACTAATGACAATGATACGGAGCTCCTGACAATTGACAGGGGTCTGTCATCCTATCAGGCAAAACATAAGAGTTGTTTTTGTTTTAGTAGAGGTTTTACTGCGCTCGCAACAGCATAAGGTCATATGAGCGCCAAGGGGCAGATGTCAACAGAGAAGCCCTTACAGGGAATCAGGCTTATTCTGCTCACCTCTGTAGCTTCAACAGCACAAAGTCTGCTTCGACTATCAAGGCACCCCGGAAATAGTGGGTCACAAGAGTGTGACAAACATACAAAAGTAGAGGAAACATGACAATAGAGAGGATTAGGAAAGAAAAAGCAGCAGTTCCCTGTCGCAGTTCAGGCACAGTTAAGAGCATGACATTGATGAACCAGCCCATTTACAATTACAATTCTACTGTGCATATAAGAACATGGTTAAGGTCCCCCCTTTCAGCAGTAGTTAAAAATTAGGTAATAGCCTATTTTATCTGGCTCATAGGAAAGAAAGAAGTAAAAATGTACCTTCTGTCCTTCTGGCAACATCCTGAGTGTCCTGATAAAGACAATAGTGCGTCTTCATTGATTTCATAGATGAAATTAGAAAGTCAACTCTCTCATTCAAAGTCAAGGGATTCACATACCTGCGGACAGAGCATCCTTCATTTAAAACTCTCTCATGAATCTCTCTAATACGGTACATAAAAGGGCTAAAGTCAACAATAGTAATAATAGATAGCATTTGTATAGCGCAAATCCCCGCTAAACAGCAAGCTCTAGGCGCTTCACAATCAATACTATTACCCCTGCAGACCTGAGAGCATCATGAAACAACCTCAACTTCCTGGGAAGCATACAGTGCAAGCGGCCATTTATAGGCGCTAAAACACTGACATACTGACAAGATCTTTCGCTGTCTATAGCCGGGTACCCATTCCCACCTGAGTGAAGTAAGGAAAATTTGTGTAAAGTACCTTTCCCAAGGACACAATGTCGGGCCCGCGGCTCTAAACCCCGAACCCGCAATCTGACGATTACGAGTCCGGTAGCCTAACCACTAGTCAAGAGAGCATTCTCCCACTTGACCCAATACTCATTTCAAAGGGCCACTACTCTTCATACGTGACATTTTGGGTTGCTGTTTTAAATCCCGGATGCCATAAATCGAGTGAAACCTTCCCTTCTCCTGAGGAAGGCATACATGATGTACTTCTTACTAATGAGCTCTTCTAGGGTTGAAGCAGCAACCTCCTAAATGATCAAAACTATACTCAGAGTTCAGTAAGTAAAATCGCTCCAGATGAACAACTAACTTGGTTTTCAAAAAGACACTTTTGTAGACCTGTGTCAAGCAAATTATTCACGTCAATTTATTGCCTAGGCTTAAGTTGTTAAAAGAAAATGTCCAAGCAAGTTCCTGTAGTCAGGATAACAGATTAGACATCAAAAACATAAATGGGACATAACCGTGTAAAAGAAACAGTATAATGGTAATAACCCAAGATTTTGGAATTCTGAACATTTTTTGGGAAGTGTCCAGGTTTCTTACACAGTAACGTCTATACATATATATTACAACATCACAATATTATACACTAGCATAATATGGAAACAAGCAGAAAACAAAATCCTGATTATAACCTCATACTTACATCCTATTTATTAATCGTCTTCGAAGGGAACAGTTCAGTTTCCAAGGTTTCTGAGTGGTGGCAACAATGAAGACACGTTTATCACCAGGACGCTTATCAATCTGACAAAGCAACTCTTTTAGATATGTCCAGTCTTGATACACAGCATCTACATCTTCAAGACAAAGAATGGACGGCGAATAATCTCTAGCAACTTCAAACACAGTTTGTAGACACTTCCTCGGATCTCTGTGTAAAACCGATCCCAACATATGTAGATTGAAGACAAACAAGTTGATTTTAGCTTCGTTGGCAGTTGCTTTGAGCAAGAGGGTTTTTCCAGTACCTGGGTGGCCGTACATTAAGAAACATCCAAGCCGCCTGTAAGTGTTTCGGAATAATACAGGAAACCGAGATGGAATAACTATTCTCTCCTTGAGGTATTCTATACTTGAATCAAGGCCATACACTTCCTCGAATGAAATACCACCACAATCACAGCTTATCTCATTCTCAATCAGAGAATAATACTCATACTCTTCTTTACTTTGAGAGCTAACAGTCTGTACCGCTGCAGTTTTTTTTGACAATGAGGCAGCAAACTCTTTCAGAATCTTCCACTCTTTCGCCTCTCCTGTCCAGGACTGAAATTTGTCCATTATTTTCCTTTCCAGAGACATAGTTGCCTTTAGGCACTCATCATATTCACTTTCTTCCCAAAGTCGGAACATCATTTCCACGTGCTCATGAATCTCCTCAAATATCTTTCTTAAGTCCTCATCCTTGTCGTTAAATTCTTTCAAAGCAATCAAAGTATCTTGAAAATCTTTTTGTTCAAAGGGATTCAGAGGTACCTTGGCACCATCCCTCACACTCACACTGCTATGGTAAGCACTAGATATGTTACTTGCAACAGACTTGCTAGCTTCCTGGAGCTCTTGATCCCCCGCAACAGGGTCCTCAGCAACAAGATTTCCTTCCCCGGAAGCTGAAGCCATTGTTGTGCTTATCAACAATTCAAGTCAGAACCCGAATTGCTTTACAACAATCATACTCCTGTGAGAAAGTAAAAAGAAAAGAAAAGGAATCATTTTTCATCACCTTTTAAAAAAACACAGGCTTTCCACTGATATTGAAGACGATACTGATTTCTTCTTCATACCCAATCTGCAAGTGATAAATTTTAGGTTCAATCAACTGCGGGTTCTTCAACCCATACAGTACACAACTGTAACTAATTTCTACAAACAAGGCTTATATATAGTCCCTTTCCATTTAGACTCTGATTTTCCATTTCTGGCACACTCTTTTAACTTTATACTCTATACTCCACATGGTTACTTCAGTTTTGGAGAGCAACTCATTTAGAAATTTGGTGTAGCAGTCTTTAATGTATTCCTGTTACTCAGTGCACTGCACTGTACTGTAACAGAGCAGCCTCTCATGAGGGCACCTAGGAAGAGAGGTCAAAAACTCGCTGAGAGGTCCTTTTCTCATAGATTCAAGTGCAATCTGTCTCAAACTCTCTCCACATTTAAAGGATTATATATGTCGGGAGCAAAATTTTTAAAATTCAATTGAAATACAACTTTTGAAATACCATATCTAGCTCTTCAAGATTATTCATAGTGCTCTTATGATTCAAAATGTGAAGTGCATAATATTATCATAACTGATTATGCTGCAACAGCACCTATGTCTACCTATGCGTTAGCGTTAATCTAAAGAGTGTGTATACATGTTCATTCACTTGAATTTTGTGTTGAGATGCTGATATAATAGTAAAGTGCCCAATTACTCTGTTCCACTTAAGCCCAAGGATCATTCACTAAACCAGTTGTGTATTTTATATTGTTAATTATATATTATACACACATATTAGTGGGGGCTCTCGTGGCCTAGAGGTTAAGGTGTTGGCCTCTCATTCAAAGGTCCCGGGTTCGAATCCGGGTAGCGACCGAAAAATTTTCTTCTCTAAAATTGTCTCCTTTCACCTCCTTTCCTGCTCTCTGGCAATGCTCTGTTGTCTGCTTTCATTTCCACTTTCTGCCCCCGCCCCCTCACCTCCTTTGCCCCCTCCTCTGGGCTCCTGACTATTTCTGCAGCCTTTCTACTGCTACTCCTTAGCTCCTCCTCACTGCTGTCTTTCTGCCACACCCCTGATCTTCTGGTAGGAAAGATCTACACCTAGCCTTCTCGGACAAGGGCAAAAAATCTCGGAGGGCCCGTGTGCAAGTTGCGCACGTTAAAGATCCCTTGGTGGTCTAAAATCGATAAGAGTAGGCTTCGGCCGGCACCCGAGCAAAATTCAAAATTTCCTACCAACTGAAAATATTAGGTGTGTCCCACGCGCTCATATGACCTATGCAGTTGCGAGCGCTGTAAAACACTTTACAAAAAAAAACCCCCACATATTAGTTAGTCCTGTCTGTGACTATACCACATCATTACATGGTGTCAGAAGGGAAAGATACGCACCTAGGAGTTTCCAAAAAAAAAGACCTTCTACAAGGTAACCTTACACAGTTTAATTTAGACCTACCCCATTTGAACAGGGGCTATCCATATTTACATTACATGACAAACTTATTCGCTTTGAAGGAACATGGTAATTTTGTGTTCTCTGGTTCTTTAAGTGTGACAAACAAACAAGACTTACTGGTAGGTTTAGCTCTTGGATTGGTGAGAAAAGAAATGAAGTGCAAAAGAATTCACATTCATGAAAGAGGAAAAAAAGCTTCTACGACCTATCAAATCTCAGAATGTTCTAAACCTACACCAGGCTAAAGAAAAAAAATAGAGCAAAGCGTGTCAAAAACTACTAAGATAGCAAAAACAAGCCTCTGAAGAGCCTTTCATTTGTTTTGTGAATGATCTCCAGCTGACCATCATGGACAATGACTATAATGAGGTGGAAGCCCTTGTTGACAGCATCAAGGATGGAGTCTATATCAGCAAAGGCAACAAGAAAAGCCTTGAGACATAAAAGTGAATCTACCTTCTTATTAACTCATTCGCTACGTATTATTTTCGGCTTGGGGACGAATTCTTTTATCGGGAAGGCGAATGAGATGATGACTAGTGGGCAGTTAAAATGTCTTTGGGGCCACAAATTCAAATAAAGATCAACGTATTGTATACCAATATTTTCAGTATGGTTTGTAGAATACATCTGTAATGTTTATTAAATTTATGTATTTTTCAACTTTGGTTCCTGTTAGAGGCGATAATACAACACAATTTTGATTGGATGCGGATAAAATTTGAAAATAAAAAATTAATAATCTTTGGTGAAACTCAAAAAAATATGTTTGCACCTAGTCAAATGATACATCAAAATAACCAATGAATATATAGAACTGGAAAATATTGAACAGTTTGCAGTTATTTACATACATTCCATATTTGTACATTTGGATAATAACATCCGATATTGAAAAAAAAAAAAAATTATAATCTTGAAAAACGATCACAAACAGAAAAAAACCCACTCGTATCTTGGAATTATTCAGAATTGCATTTAGAATTTAAACCTATATATACACGTGTCTTAAGTGGCACTTTTTGTGTATTTTCATCAAAAAGTAGTGATTTGGGGAGAAAAAAAATATTTTGACAATTTAGCTAGATCTAGATCTAGACCTAGATCTGGCACTCAAAAATATTGATTTCTCAATAACTTGAATAACAGTGCATTGGCAATATAGCAATGACCACGAAAAACGTTTTTTTGACAGAAAGTGTTTGCAAATAGGTGCATTTTGTAGCTTTATCTCCACAGAACATGGAACTTTTTGAATTTTTTAAATCCATCAATAAACAAAATCCTTACGAATTTTTTAATCAATTAATTTTTGGTACACTTTTGGAAAAAAAAACCAAAATATGGGACGTTCTTTGATGAGTTTTGAGACAATATTCGTCATAACTCGCTCATTTCTCGGAGTATTTAAATGAAACTTGGCAACCCAGTACATTTTCTAGTGTAGCATCTAGTCCTGCTTTCAGAATTTTCATAGCTATCCTACTTTTTGAGTTATGAAGACGTTTATAAGGTAAAAATGTGGCGGTTTTCGGTGCGTTTTGAGACAATATTTGTCATAGCTCGCCTATTTTTTGGAGTATGTAAATGAAACTTGGCAGTCAAGTACAGTTTTTAATGCAGAATCTAGTCATGCTGTCAAATTTTTAATATCTATCATACTTTTTGAGTTGTAAAGACATTACCAGGTAAAAAAGTGGCCTTCTTTACAGATTTACAAAAATTATCAGTCATATTTTCTCCCAAAGTCATGATATTTGAATGGAAGTTGGCAACATAAGAGGTTCCTCCTTGCCAAGCAATGCTCTGGATCAATTTGTCATAAAAATGTGAGTAGAGAATTGGATTTATTAGTCTAATAAATCCAGTTCTCTACTAGTAAAAGCTTGTATACTTTGTAATAGAAAATATAAGATAGTCTCTGTGTATATCCAGTGTTGGTCAGTGTCCTATTGTGTGGTAGATTAAGATGCGTTAAGATAATATAGTTTATAAGTCATGGGAATATTTTGCATCATGTGTAGGCTACAACTCATACTATAAATGTAACAAATTTACACCCCCCCCACCCCCCCTTCTCTCTCTCTCTCTCTCTCTCTCTCTCTCTCTCTCTCTCTCTCTCTCTCTCTCTCTCTCTCTCTCTCACTCACGCACACACACATACACACATGCACGCACGCGCACTCACGGGTGAACGATATCAATCAATGTATAAACGGGACTATCTTCCCAGACTGGACTAAATAAGTACCGTACTCTTTAATAACAATCTTAATGCCTCACTTTTCCAAACAGAGCACACAGGACGAGTCCAAGTGTGTGGTTTCCCCAGAGGGGGTAATAGGCTTTCATAAGGCAAACACAATGCCATACCACTTCTCAAGATGTTTGCTTTTCTGTTTCTATTCTTCTGTCATGCAATAAAGCAAATAAAAATGACTACATCTATTGTATTGTGACCAAAATGCAACAAAAATGCAAGTTATCAAGGCCCCCATTTAGTTTTCAAGTATCTTTCCCCCCCTTTCCGGTTCACATAAGCAGGGCCTTGTTTGTAGCACCCGAGGCGACCAATGGCTGATGATGTCACTCAGTGGAAATTTCCCAGCCGCCGGTCGTTCACCCAGTACGCGCAAACGGCAATGTCGCTTTTTCCCTTAGTTACTCCCACATTTTTAAAGATTACGCAAAAACCGCTAAACGCAGTTCGAAGCATGAAATTTTAAGGGAATAAAGAAAAATGGTGTACAAAATGTATCACAGTCAGTTTGACAACTCACAGCTCCGAAAAATCTTCAAAGCGCACCACATCAACCACTTTCGCAAACATTTTCGACTACTTCTTGGATGGGTACAAAGTTGTCAAACTGCATAATTATGAGATTGACCTCTTTTCTGATTGGCTGCCAAGTTTCATTCATATCCATTCACGAGAAACGGCGTGAGAGCGAGTTGAAGACAACAACCTTTGCGTTAGTGCGTCCCACGAAACACCCCCGCGGCGGGGAGCAAAAATCGGCAGAACAAAACGCGCTCCGTGGGCATTGCTAGGCAATATATATGAGTCCAATCGTATCAATATTAAAAAAAGAGTCCTACACTTCTTTAGTGGGCAAAATAATGATAGATTTTTGTCATGTAAAATTACTAAGACTGGTGTCCGGGCTATAATTTTGGCATAGCGATTAAAACAAAGTCGAATAAACCACGAAATCGCGTTTCAAAACAGAATCTAAACTTCCGATTTTCAGTGGAATTGCTTAACCCGGATGTCAACATTATATTATGACCTTTATTTTAACATGGATATATGTGGATTGGAATAGAATCTAAGCTAAATTTGAAGATCGGTACATCTCTACATTAACAGAGTACAATCACTATAACAAAATACATCGAGCCTAATTTTTTTCAAGACTGTGAGATCATTACAAACCAGTATTTTATCACCTCAAACACGATGATCTGTCGTTATTTCGACAAAAACACAGAGCGTTGACCCCGCCGGCGCCGCACTGGGCCGGCGAGCGAGTCGGCTCTATAGTAATACTGTTAATGTAGTGTACCTCGCCGTGCGGGGTCACATGTTTTCTGAGTCTCGCGGAAGGATTGATGTAAAATAATTCCAAGTTGATTACTTTATTCGGAAGGACTTCCGTAACGAGCGACCACCCCATCAAACACAATTAAGAAGAGGCCAAGACCTAACCCTAACCCTAACCCTACCCGAGTCCCTACCCTTACCCCTACCCCTACCCCTACCCCAAGCCCTCAATTTTGCTCTGTCTCATAGTGGTCGCTCGTTACGGAAGTCCTCCCCTTTATTCTAATGGTAGATCTAGATCTACACCAAAAGTTTGGATTTCGGTAGATCTGACTGTTGAATATTGCAAAGCCTCTATGTCATGTTTTACAACATCAATGATAATTTTGACGACGGCCACCTCTATTCTCACCCGGGATGAGAATAGTGTAGGCGAGTCTTTTGGCTATTCTCACCCGGTGCGCGTTCACCGTTATAGC